AAAGCTCTTCAAGCTATATGAAATTATTAAAAAAAACACTGAGCGCAGTCTTTCCTCCCTCCACACATGGTGCCAAACACAGGGAAATGCACTAACAACTTGCTAGACTCTCAAATGCCACACCTGATCATCATTGCACAGAAAAGATTACAGACATTAACAACTTGAGTAGGTCTTGCCTTCACACGAGAAACCTTTTCAAACACGGCATGTTGGAGGATGAGTTCTTTGGACACCACCCCAGTTATTAGACAGCAGTGGTGTAAGCAGCGATAAAGTTTGCCAACTTTAGTTGGAACTGTTTTCCCATGGGACAAGGACTGAGCTAAGCCAGGATAAAGTAACTTATCAGATATACTGTAAATTGATAAAAGGTTTTGAAGGCAGATTTACTAAAGAGAACTAAATACAGCCAGGCAAAAAGATTCTCAGAAAGGAGCATAATTCAAAAAATGAAGGGTACACTGCAGAAAGAGCAGGCAGAATGCTTATTCCATTTAATTTTATCTTAATCAGAAGAATAAATAGCTGAAAGTACAAGAGTTACGGGGAGAGAGAAGAGAAGGAGAGAGAAGAGAAGGAGAGTGACGGAAAGAGTATAAAAAGAAATAAAACCTATCAGGCAACCCAGCTCAATAAAAGTAAATTCCTTCTCTCTCAGCAGTTAAAGCAAAATGTATCCGGAATCCTGACAATACCCCATTCTTTTACTTTCTGGCTGGCTGGAACGCGAACAACTATCAATCACTTTTGGGTGGCTGCGAAGTAGGCCAGATGGAATATGTCGGAAGCGTTTTCTGCTCTTCAGTGCAAGTTGGCCATTAGAGCAGCCACTCGACAGAAGTGCCTGAGTCTCTCACATCTGTCAAGTTAGTTTAGGGAGACCTTGAACATCCCTGGCCTTGCAGACACTGATTAGAATATGCAATTGTGTGTGCTAGAGGAGAGGTGGCTGCCTCCACTGGGATTTTGTGATAAAAATTATCCTTTCATCCTTTCCAGCCTTTGTGACAGGCTTTCTCATGACCTCATTTGTGTACTAAATACACAAACTATAGTGTCTGGAATATCACTGTCACGTCGCTGACAATCTCTCTGTCCAAATGCACAATATTCAAGAATGGACGACAGTTTTCTGTTAACTACACTTCAGCACAGCTGCCCAAGACCAAGCTATTGTCTTCTAATCTGAGACCACCTCAGCATAGCTATGGAGAAAAAAGAAATTTCCTTCATGAGAAATCCAGATAAAATTCAAATTCCTGATTCATCATCTGCTCTGAATCCCACATACAACAGAGTTTCTCTAATAATTTTACTTTTGCAAGCACTGAGCTCCAAAATGTCCAAGTGTTGCAGACTAAAATCCATACTTAGAGTCAATTGCTGAGAAGAAAAAAAATACTGAGGCAGAGCAGCTGCTAATAAGAGAAAAAAAAAAAAATTCCAAACTAACGAGAGTCCTTCAAAAAGATTTTAGGTCTTTTCCATGAATGCTGACTAGTGATCAAGCAAATCCATCAGAACACTTAGATCACCAGTTTATGAGACTGGCATTGGTTCCTGAGGTCAACAAGTATCTCCTGGTTTAATTTAGCAGAAGTTTTGCCACAGGTCGTAGAAGTTCCTGGAAACCCAAAATACACTTTTATCAGCAACTGTGCAAAATTATAACCATTGGGATTTTTCTGCAGTTATAATTTTCCTTTCTGTTAAGCACAGACCAAACTCGTGTGAAACAGCAGCCATCTCCCAAATAGTTAGGTGAGAGGAGAAAGGCACAGGATTCATGCTACCAGCAAAGTTGCTGTATGTTCATGAGCTGTAAAAGTGGATAAGCAACAGGAGAGCAGAAGTTACACATGACATCTATTTATTTGCATTTTTCTCAAAGAACAGAGAAGGTGAGGAGGAACTTCAGACATGAAGCCACACTAAGGAAATGTGTCAGGTGAAATATGATGTACAGTCCAGTCCCTGGGTATTCTTATCGAGGATAATTTGTTATACTACAAAATATTTAAGTCAGAGGTTTTAGCTTTAAAAGATGGCAAGTGACAAAAAGTAACAGAAGATATATAAAACTAAAATTGACTGCAGAAGCTAAATAGGGGATTTTTCTTCCCCCATTTATGATAAGAAATCAAAAGGAAAAGTGATGTAATGAAGAGGTTATGAACATGACCTAATAGAAAGAAAATTTCAGGGCACAGGAAAGGGGGTTATTCAGGAAAATAATGAAAACAACCCTCTTTCTGAATATACTGGTATTTTTCAGTGCAATATTTTCAGTGAGGTCACATCTGCTTTTGGTACTCCCAGCCTATCGCTGTCAGAGATGTACTCAGTGATGCAGCCCTTGAAGCATACACCAGTCACGAAGGTAACTGTTTAGTGGTGGAACAGATTCCTATAATCAATAAGCCCTTCAATTACTGTTCTGTTGCCAGAGCTCCCAAATGCCAGAGAGCCACTGCTCTGCTAGTCCAGGCAATCACAGTAGGAACGGATGGCCCTTGATCAGCATTTACAGGTCTAGCTGCAAATCAATACAGACTTTATACAACCCTGTGTCTCAGAAAAAAATGCTGCTTCCAAATAATGTGTCAAATATTTTTTCTCTAGTAGTCTTGAGCCACTGATGAGAAGCTATGGATGAAAATGGAGCCTAGTAGGTACCTGCAGTCCATTCCTAGTGCTCAGACAATAATCTAGGTCTTACTTCTTGACTCCAAAGAATTAAATTGGGTCCTATTCTAACTATATATTGAATATAGTTTCCTGTAAGGAAAATAAATATTTTCCTTATCTAGATGTGGGTGGGGACTTACCTCCAACCTGTAATTTCCTTCACTTCAGGAAGAAAACAAATACTCTTATTCCAGCTAGCATGTCAGCACTCCGATTTTTAATTCAGAAGTAAAGTTCAGTAGGGCACAACATTTCACACAGCACTAATTTGCTTGACCTACTTTCTTACTCTGGCTCTTTCTACTCCTGCCAACACATCGTCCGGTGTAGCTCCCATGTAGCTATACCCACAGATCTGCAATATGGCTTTTTTACTGTCAGCTCAGGGCCCAGGAAGGCTGCAAGTGTCTGACTTCCATGCTTGCTGCTCCTACTAATGCCAACAGCAGATGAACGAGCAGGTGGCATGCAGGAAGATGCCGTGAGATTACTAACGCAACTCAGGAGAGCAGAATTTCTGCCCACAGTTATGATCACAAACCTACACTTGTACCCATTTCTCCTTTTGCATTCCTTCAAATGAAGTCAGGTTTCCTAATTAAGTCAAACCATACAACTCTGTTGGCTGCAGTCAATCCCAATCTGAGTTTCATTCTCGGCTGTAACTCATAACTAGAATCAGCTAAAATTAATTCCAGTCATTTCACAAGCTCTGCCTTTAAAACTGTAACTTGACAATGATGCTGTACCTCCCGTCAGCCCGGCTCTCACAAAACCATGCTGCATCAATGCCATGCTTTGTCACCCTCTCCCTCTTCTGACAGCCATTGATAGAATATATTGACCCAGTGGGAGCAGAACAAGGCAGAATGCTACTAGCGGCTCTAGCAGCAGCAGACTTCTCATTGCACAACAGGAAGCTTCATTCAATAAACTCCCAAATGCCACTTAGCCATGGAAACTTACTCAAAAAACTCCACCCCAAAAACTCAAAAAAGTCCTTCCCCCCAAACTAAAAAACAATTAAATCACACAGCTCAATCCCTTCCTGCAGTCCCACTCAGTCATTTCCATCCCAAATGAAGATGTTTATTGCTGCCAACTCAATCAAAAGTCAGATGGTCTCTCAAAATCTAGCTGTATCCTTTATACTTCACATCTTGTCATTACCTATGCAGCTTTTGGACTCAGTGATCATCTGGTAGCTCCATGGATGGTATGCGAGGAAGACCAGTTACAGCTGTACTGACTCCAAGGCAGATGGGTGCATGCACCCACACCGAAAGGGTCAGCAACCTCATCAGACACGTCTCTGGTTGCACAATCAGAAAGGACTCCTGCAGGTACCCCTCAGATCAATGATGCACTGCCATCCACAAGATGAAAATTTCTGGTCCAAGTTGCAGCTGTCCCTCCTATTGACATCTATTTTTATAATTATCTAAGTATTCAGAGTCGGGAAGGTGTGAAACGTAGCCAGTTTTAAGCAAAAAAATGCCAGGGTAGAATAGCTTGTATAATCCACTTACACACATTATTTCTCTATCTCAAACAAGATCTCACAATTTTAGCCCCCACTATAAATCACCCTACACACAGAACACCTGCTATTCCAACAAAAGACTACATTAAAATTTTTTGATGATTAGAAAGAAAATAAGTGTGTCTAAGGGATACCTGGAAACATAAATGCAGGGCATATGTCTTTCTGGGTACTAGGAATTACACTGTCACTCACATTTAAATAAGATATATACAGTCCATACTATCCTTCCTGCTATCTTTGAATTAAAAAAATATACCAACCCAAGGGTGCAGATCATTGACATATTCTTTTTTCAGCATGCAGTGAGCAGAGCAGCCCTTCAATACTGCTTGTCCAGAAGAAAGCAGTCCCTTTTTCAACTACTCATTATTTGACACAACAAAACCTATACAAAAGGCATCTTTATCAAGAGATGTTTTTTGCATGCTATTTTTGGTTTGTTCCTGTCCACAGGTGAGTTTTGAGAACCACCTGTTTCCTAGAGGTCTAGTGAGCATCAGCAAACCAATAGTAGTACAGGTAGTCTAAGGTTAAAACTGGAGCTCTAATCTTCAGCTCACTTCCGGTGTGTTAGGCTGCCTAGACTATACAACTCAGGAATATTGTCTGCCTAAATGCCAGGATTTAGGAGCAGTGCAGAACTGAGGAAAGGCCATGAAAGTAAAACTTCCTGTATTACTAATTTCCCACTGAAGCACATGGGATATCAAAAATCCAGTGCTTTAAATGAACTGGTGCGCAGCTTTCATCAAAAGGAATTTACCTTGAGGTTTGGGTTTGGTAAGCTTCCCACAGGGCTTTGAGATCGTGACAGTCTTCTGGCAGTCAGCATTATGAAGGGCTCTCTTTAAGTTCCCGGTTCGAGTCTTCAAGGCAGTATTCAAGTCACATTCTCCCCAGGCCTGGAACTGGTATTTGCATTCCGCTGCAATAAATAAATACATAGCAATTTTTAAAACAGAATGACTGAGTGTGAAAACAAAAATGCTATGAGTCTAATAGGATATCACAGCCAGACAGTTCTTGTAGACAAAAGGATCACATGACTAAAGAAATCCCAAGAACAATTTTAAAATTATTTGCAGTAATAATTGCAGTCCCTCCCCTACAGTCCCAAAGTGCTTTAAAATAGAATCCTTTTGCTTTTGTATGAATATTTCTTTATTATTGTATTAAAGAAAATACATTCAACCATGAAGATAAACAATAAATATATTCTAAAAAGAAAGAAAAAAGAGCAGTGGGAAATGTCATTCACATTCTATATGGCTTTTCATCCATTTGTGTGATGCCAAAGGTTACCAACTAAGGATTGAACAGTTTTAAGAAAGTATGTGCAACTATGAACTTGTGAACTCTGAAACTGCTGCACTGATTGCCTCAGTAAGGTCACAATGATGTCAAAGTCATACAAGCTGTTTACTAGAAAAAGAAACAAGCTTGCAACCGTAATCAGTTCTGAGTCCTCAACACACATCTTGTCCAGGAAAGATCTGACTTATCTTTCTGAACTCTTATAGATGAACCTTCTGAACTGAATAATATAGAAGAAATAAACTGTTCTTCATTCACTCCTTTCAATGCACACACGGGTAGGCACCCATGCTCCACGCTGCAAGTTACACATCACAAGGTCATGTAAAGTCTGTGGTAGTCATTGCAGAGATTCACAGCGCTGAGAGGACAAACGACACATACGTTGCTGCCTTAAATAGGGTTGCACACCACAGGAAAGCAGATTTAAACACGCTGCTGGGACACTGAGTTAACAATCAGTAGGTTACACGGATTCTCCTCTGCAGAGGAGCTGCTTTGCTCTGATGCCTTACATGCTCTAGCTGCAATGAACTTGAAATACAGAAGCAGCCCCTTCACCAATTCATTTGCAGAGATATGCCGAAAATTGAGGCTTCCTTCCAAAGCAAATCCCTCAAGAGAGTGATGCTTACCTCCAAATTGCTTCTTCCAGTTGCAGGGAATCTTGCACTTCTGAGTCTTGGTGGTCTGCTTGCACTCGGCTCCAGTGCGAGTGCCCTCGCGCGTCCCCAGGCCGCAGTCCCCACTGGTGGGCACGCAGACGCTCCACTGCCATTCCCCACAGTCAGACTTCTTCGCCTTTTTCTCTGGATGAAGACAAGGAGCCAAACCCAAGCAAGAGAAGTGGTCACTACCCAGAGCCTATGGAGAAGTTCCCTAAACTTGATTAAACAGTCACAGCACCCAAAAGAGTGAATAAGGAAGACATTCGTAAAACAGTTGCTTCAAAAGCAAAAGGTCTGGCATCCTCATCACAGTTCTACAGAGGCAGGTCAGCCTCTTTGACTCCAAAGCAGGGTGGATCATCCAAATTCAGACCCGCTACCATGTCTACTAGTCTACTTAGATATTCTCAAGTGGATTCTCATCTTCAGAATGGGGAATCATCTAAAAATCCTCAGAGATCACTGACCAAAACATGCAGGAGGGCTCGTTCAGGAAGGACACTCCTGTCTCCAGTAGCTGACGGCATGCAAATGTTTTCAGTTCCAATAGAAACACTACACACTACACAGACCAGAAATGCATGCATTGACATTGTGTAGCAGAGGATTTGAGCACCTCCAGGGAACCGCTGTGGGACAGTGTCCTGGTTTAACTCTAAAGCCAGCACACATACAAACCCTTGACTTGGTATACCATGTCACATTTTATGTCAGAAAATGACCAAAACTCCAAAAGATAAAAAAAATCTGCATGGAGAAGTTTACTCAAGATGCTGTTAATACAGATGGGTTTGTTGCTCAGGGACAAAAGTAAGAATCGTGATTTCATTTAAATCCTTAAACCAAGTCTGATGAGAAAAGACAGCAATGTTATCAAATCCAAGGGTTCACGAAAATATTTATTTAGGCCTCCAAAACACCACAAGTAACTTGAAATAACTTTAGATAAATTATTTTCCTTCTAGCTCTTGTATTTTTACATTCACTTTTTCTTCTATTTCCATATAGCCACAATAGTTAGAAACACATTTTTCAAATGGGAACACTAATTCTCATAGACTCACAGGTCTGGCGTTTAAGTAGCCTGCAAATACAAAGACCTTAAGAAAAACACCCAAAGCTGTGTTCCTTAAAAAAAAATGTCAAAACTGGGTTTGAGAGATGTGAATTTTCCACCCCATGCCTGTCTCTCCTATAATGAGGTCTGAGTTTGTCACTGACAGAAAGCAATTACCGCAGGATGTCTGGCTGTCTATCCGCAGCCGCGAGTTAGTTCCATTCTTTGTCGGAGGATTTCTACATCGCACAGCATTGGCGTACATTGTCATATACAACACTGAACAAGTGACATAACTGCCCTTTTATCACTCCTGCTTGGTTCTCCCTAAGTCAAGCATGAACCTATTCCCAGAGCAAATTTTAAGCTGCCTTGCAATACCCAATCTGTGATAAACTGAGGACGCCAGTCTCTGGGGCTGCAAGCTGCCATTTTTGATGGAAACTACTTTCAGTTTTCCTGTTTAACATAGAACAACATGTCAGAGCCACAAATCTCTACCCTGTATGTCAAAAGGTTAACAAATTACCTGAATTTCATCACAACACCAGAAGCATTTGACATTCTCCCACACATGCAATCTATCCCTGTGATTAACTCTGAATTACACTGGACCTTACCTGGTTTCTCTTTTTTGCCAGCCTCAGTGGTACTCACAGCTGCCAGAATGAAAACAAGTGCCAGGAGGGCAGCTGTGAACATTCGACGTTGCTGTTGCATTCTGGGTATTAAGGAGAGAGAGGGGAAAAAAGTTTGGTTACACTGTAAAACATGGGATCCCCATCTGAAGTGTCAGTGCAGCAGTTTTGGGAAGCTCTGCTTCAGGGCCACAAGACACAAGCAGGTCAAACACAACTACTCACTGGCAAAATGGGCAATTATCTTCATTCCAGAGAGAATGCAAAGATTAAGAGTAATTTTCCAACCTGTGTACCAAATTCCTGATCTACATTACTGAAGTTATGGATGAGTTTTGCCACAGGAAGCTCGTAATAACTGCTCATCATCCAGAAATCTGTCAGAGAATCAAGGGTCCTTACGTGCCTGGAATTTCTCTATTCTTTCCTGACCTCTGCCTGTATTGTGTAAAACTAAATGTAACATATACCATGTGCTTCAGCCTACCTGTTCATATGAGGTAGGGAATGCCACCCTGTCTACCTTGAAAGAGTTCAAGTTCTTATCAGACTTACCTGACACCTGAAAAGAGCTGCTTTCACAAAAATTTATATAGGTAATATGTGAAATATTATCTTAATTGTCATTGGCATGTTGCTACCTACCTTTTCCTTCTCTTCCAATGAGTATCTCTTCCTACTATCAATTAAGCTAATTGCCTGAAATGCAAAATATGCACAAAGATAAGACTTGCACACACAGCTAGAGGCTATCCATAGCATGCTAGCTAATGAACCCAAAATTTGGGTTTGGGAAGCAAATATTCAAATAGGAAAAGGAATTACAAACATTTACTTGGTGGTGAAGCATCAGTTATTAGCCAATCACCAAAAGTCATTCAGAGCTGGCTGATTTCAGTGACCTACACACATACTTCCCCTTTCACTTTGCTATAATGTGCATTCTCTCATTTTGGCATTGTTTACTTGAAAGCAGGGCCATAAGAAATACGTATGTTAAAAATGAGCAACCTCCCCACTTCCCAAAAACACATCTCTAGCAGAAAGCTGGGTACCAAAACAGTGGACTGGACTTTGCTCAGACGGAAGGTCTCCCCTGCTTGCCTTTTTTTTTTTTTTTCCCCAACTAGGGACCATGGTATTCATGCTACACCAGTCCGAGGAGGAGGTGTCAACAGTGCTAGCCAATACACGGCCTTAAAAACTCAACTAAACTGATGTTACAGAGAGAGTTTAGAGGCAGTCTGAGCTCATTTTGCTGAGTGTGCAACCTTAGGGAAGAAATAATTCTCACCATGAACAAGAACAAAATGTATTTGAAATGTAATTTGGCACTCCTCAGTATTCCCTGCTAGCAACCTCTTTTTCAAAAGCCACATAATTGTAATTGACGTGGAAAACAGGAGAGGAATCCCAAACACACAGACTTTTAAGTATCCAACTTTAATATCATGCTATAAGCCAGATGAGAAAATTTAATAGTTTCCTTTAAATAAACTTCATGAGAAGATTGCAAGAGGCTTGGTATTCAAATATCTGAAAAAGCTGTCATTAGCACCAGTTTGATTTACTTCAAAACAAAGGAGCAGTTCCCGTCATGAAGAAAGGATCACCAGTGTTTCCAGTGAACCCAAACAGTCCAGACCTAGAGCGCATGAGTCCCGCATTAGCTTGGGTACAGTCTTCCCTTTCTTCTGCTATGTATTTACACTTAGAGACACTCATGTTGTACAGAAAACGAAATAAATAAATAGAATAAGCAACAAAAAAAAAAAAAGAAGAAAGCACAACCTGCCTTTTTATTCCACTTGCTTCAAACTGGTTCTCCACAATCAAACACATTTGCAACACTGTTAAGACACAAAACTTTCTCACTCAGTCCCTGTCCCCTGGAGAAATTTCACCACCAGTATCACTGCACCTTGCCTCACATTCCATTTTCACAACAACTTATCTTCTCACCTCCTCTCCTCTAAACAACTCACCCGACTCCCTCATTGAAGGAGTATTAAGTGCTTGTGTGGAAGCATCTGGAAAGAGACAAATACTGCCACAACCTCAAGACACGGTCCCCGAGCACTGTCTGGGGCATCAGAAGCTGAGGCGAGGCAGCACCAGTGGGTTTGCTGCACAGGATGTCATTGCACACAGGGCTCCCCTCCAGCATCCCTGCTGCCCACCCCAGGGACCTGGGTTGGGGTCACATGCACCTCAAGAGCTGGATGCAGTCAGCCAGAGCCATGGATAATTGTTTCTAGGGAAGCTGTCCTGTATTAAATTGAGAGACTCAAATTCAAATCAGATCAGCATTATTTTCAGCAAAGCAGGCAGGGAAAATAGTTGGGTTTCAGAGTCTGAGACAATCCAGAATCCTTATAAAGAAAACCCTACAGAGCCTTAATGTAGCATGTCTTCCTAAGACTCCAAGTCTCCCTACAGCCAAAACACTTGCCAAATGGTCTAAGGCAAACATTAAACCTGCAGAGAGAGAGAGATCCCTCTGGCAGAGAGAGCCAGGCTGCTTCCTCAAAAGTCTTCGCTATTAATTATCAACAAGTGAAAAGCCAAGTTGTACAGAAGGAGGACTTGCCTCTCTCCACACCAACACCTCGAATTTGATGTAACCTGTGCAATTACAGAAAACTCCACAATTGTTTTGCTCACAATAGTTCAGCAAGGACAGGTGCTCCCACAAAATTACAAACACTACCTATGCCTATAAAAAGTACCCATTAAATAATTTTTTTCAGATGCCCAGAAAATCCCACATGTCAGTAATCATTTGAGTTGAATCTTCAGTTTTCCTTGCAAATATTTCAGCTGGCCATTAAGAAGATGGATGAGGGTTAAAACTTGTCAAAATGGACTTGGTTTTGAAAATAATACATTCCACTGGGAAAAAACCAACCCCACTCTTTTTTTTATTTTGCAAAATTTGAAGGTGACAATTTTTCCTTTTCATTAGATTTTGTGATAACATTTCAAGTTCAACCTTTGGTTTAAAGAATGCCAAAAATGTTAATAACAATGAAAAACCAAGTGTTTCATGACATGCAGAATGATCTCCTCCTTGACTTTTTCATTTTTTTGGTAATGAGCCTTTTATCTACACCAACTATAACAAGTTAATTGTGTGTCATGAAGGGAAAGTATTCTAAAATCCTGTATGACAACCCCTAAACAGACCACGGCAGCAGCATTTAAACAAACGGCAGTGGCATTTATAACCAACATGAGGAGACAAAAATAAAAGAGAAGGAAAGGAAAGAGACATTTGGGGTGAGGGGGGCTCCAGGAAACTTCAGAAGCAAGATGAGGTAAGGAGAGAGAAAGAGAGTTTATGGTAAACTGGAACAAGATCAGCAAAAGAGAGTAAGTAATCATGAAAAGAACACCAAAAGAGGAATGAGAGAAGACAGAAGCAGCTAATGATGATTAAACATTGCAACAGTGTTAGAAAAACTAGAAATGTGTAACAAGATGAGAAGTGAAGCCCAGCTGAGACGCACCACAGCAAGTGGCTTCTCCCAACAAAAATGAGGCACAGGAATTACTTCAGACTCACAGTTGATTTCACAGTCAATCACTGTTTGGGAGTAAAAAAAGGTAAGGAAAATATAAAAATGGGAGGTAATCAGAGTTCATCAACCATACATCCATGGGTTCAATTGTGTGTTGAGCAGCAGAAAGAGAGTCAAGAAGAAGTCACAGTACGACTGCAGTTTAAAGAACCTTCTGGGTAGTACTTGAGCCTCCCACTCCAAATTCCATACTACTCCCTACCTGATTTTATGGTTGCACTCATCACTCCTGAACCTGATTCACTAAATCATTCATTTCCTTGATGAGTACAGTCCACATGACTAAGCATACCAACTCTTAGGATACACCTAAAATAGGATATAGGATGCACCTAAGATAGGACTGTGCTGCAGTCCATAGGATACACGTATCCTATGGACTGCAGCACACAAATCCCTGCTCTACCAGAGACCAAAACCAGTATCCACATAGCATTGCACATGAAGATGTTTCCATCTGGATCCAAAAGCACTACAGACACTTTCAAGAAATGCCAAGCTTTGTCTAACAGCCCAAGAGAAAAATTTTACTCCCTCCAACTCAAGACCTTGCAAAAGCAGCTTGTTTCTTTCATACTCAAGTTAGCAGCCCAAGGGGGCCCCGGTGTTTTCATGCTGCGCCCTGCAGACATTTGGATCTCCGTTAGTCCAAGTCAAGCTTGCTGGAGCAACTTGGTCCGCCCTCATGCAATTAACTCATACACAGGTTGGCCATTTCTCACATCTCAACAAGTCTTTCCTGAACATAATCATCCAACGAACCAATTTCAGATGAAGCTCTATTGGTGAGCAAGTGTTTATTTTTCATAGTGTTACTGAAACTAGCATATGCAGCACATCCTAGGATCACATATGCTTTTTGCAGGTGGCTTTTTGCCGTTAATAACTATTACTCACAAACCCTTCCCTTCATCTGTTCTTCCCAAAGCAACTGGCAAGGTCCCAGATTATAGAAGCAAGTATTTTATTATTAGTCCATATGAGAGTAGTCTCCCACTCAGCTATCAGGTTTTCTCACATGATTTAATCAGTCCATATCCTGCAGCTCTTCCAGTATAACAGGACAAACATCAGCTGTGTCAATAATGTTGTTACCATGAAACCCTGTGTGTATTACCGTTGCTAATCAGGGGTTTTGTAGTGAGTGTGCAAGGCATCAGGACTGAGGTTTGTCGAGGCTTGCTCTGTCTGAGCTTTCCTTGCAGACAGTCACAGCTTTGTCACATTTGGTTTACCTGCAACAGCAATTTTTCTAATTGACCAGCTAGCTATGGCTAATTTCATTTATTTTTCTTTGTTATTCTATGGAGCCTGACAGGTTTTATGACTCTATTATAATAATGTACTATAGAGAACTACAAGATTGGCATCTTAACAAAGGTCTTGAGAAGTGGAGACGCAGGGTGCACTGTAGAGGAGTACAAGTATGGGAGATACGAGATGGGGCACAGGCTTGACAAAGGAGACCCCACAGCTATAAACAACTTACCCATGGTCAGAT